ATATTTAAAATGAGAGAAGACACTGATTTGAAGCGCCAATTAAAGGCCGCGCGAATACGCAGAAAGGAATTTCGCGCAGCAGGGCTACTTGCTTTAGTTGGTGGTGTATTCATATTATGTTGGCTTCCTTTTTTCATCGTTCAGACGCTACACAAGTTTTCTAACGCGAAGATCGCGCCTTTTTATTTTCGGTTGTTCCTTTGCGTTATGTACTCTAAATCAGCCATCAACCCCCTATTGTACACAGCACTGAACAAAGAACTTCGAAAATCTTTATTACAGTTTTTATGCCCCAATAGAAACCGTTCTTTCAACGACGACAGCGTTCGGATGATAAACTACCAAAATGGTCCGAGAAGTGGCGAGAGTTCTTTGTAATCGTTATAGTTTTAAGCCTTTCACTTTCAAAACTGATTGGCAAAAGTCAAAATTTAACAAAATTTCCAAATTTAATTCAACGACAACAATTAGCACCCGAATTGTGAAAGAACTACTAAAGAGGTTTCATGAATCGTCATATAGAAAGAGCTTAAGTAGAGTTCGAGCAGTCTATCTTTTCCTTCAGATTTAGTGAGAACAATGCACACGCGCGGGAGCGGCGAAGCTGCGAGACGCGCGAAACGAGGGCGGCAGCGCCATCATTCACGCGCGTGACGTGGCCATTTGCGTGTATCGCGTTTTGCTCGACGGACTACAGAAAAAAGAGAGACTGCTCGTAGTCTAGAGCTTAAGCAATGACGTCGACGACGGCAGTGAAAAGGTCGCTAAAAAAGGAATTTGCGTCCTGCAGTTGAATTCTTAAGGACTCTATCCAGGTTCAAAATAAAAAGAGAAAGGAAAATTCGTGGTCGTATGTTCACCTCCTCCATAAAACATTGCACCAGGAACTTGCATCAGGAGGTTTCACGTCGTAGTCGTGTAGAGCATAGAAAAATACTAAAAAGCGTGATGCAAGTATAGAGCTGTTGCTTTGCTCATTAAGCCAAATTGACATTGTTGTTGTCGTCGTCGTTGCTTTAAAAGCTCCGTAATTATATCATTACCTCTGGAAGTGAAAGAGTTCGTTGCTATTCATGTCTGATTTTGCGAAAAAAGATGAAAAAAAACCCCCGTTCGTTCAAAATAATAAAATTAAAGAGGAATGAATATTTGCATTATTTGATTATTTAAGAGAGATCGCCAAGGGCTGTTTTTCATTAAACAGAGTTGGCCTTTTTTTAACAAAGCCAGTAGTAAGCCTTTTTCGATTTCGCCAACTATAACTCCTTCATTTTGTTAAATGTGCTAAGTGTCAAAAAAGCATCACTTCAGACATAAGAAACCCAAAAATTTATTTGCTTTAAATAGTTATCAGTAAAATATAAACCCATTGAAGTGAAGACAGATCGTGAGGCTCTTATAGTATTCCATCTTTTTCTCGCCCCACGGTAGATACGCCTAAACATTATTCGTAGAAAACGAGGTCGAAACCGGCTTACAACGAGGTTGAGAAGAGCCGCTGGCGAAATTCCGTCTAGGCACCGTTTAATAACCAATCCATTATGAGTTTACTACACCCTTTCCCCATGACGACCTTCTCGGTGTTGAAAATGAGAGCGCATCAGAAAGAGCCCTAGGAATGACAACTGCTTCTGCAGTTCTCCAAGATTTATCGTTATTTGTGACTATGACCTTTCAAATCGAAGCACTGAAAAAAAAAAATAACAACAATAACAACAGCGACATTTCTCTAAGCAAAAACAAACAAATAACAATCATTTCGTTTTTCGGTTGTTCCCCAAAACAAGTTTTTTGGCGGCGGATTTGCTCGTGGGCGAATTCAACGGTTTCGACTCCGTTCCGGCTCAAGTTTTCAAAATGTAAGCTGCCAGCTTAGGGGTATCCCTATTTCCCCACGAACATCTTGAATAACAACATTCGAGCACTCCTATCTATGCTAGAGTAGCCTCTTTGTCAGTGGATGGCGTTCCAAAAATCCCTGGGGACGAGGGTGTTAACGGGCCGCGGTCGACCCGGGTGGACTTTGTTTATGATATTGGTCCTATATTTGATCGATTCATAAACCAGTGAGAACGTGCCTGGCTACTTTTATATTTGTTTTACTCATAGCCGAAAACTCTTCTAATGATGAGGAGTTTTACATATGAGCAAAAATCGCTGGGTAGCGGAAAAAGGGGAAGATTTAGCCCTTAACATATCGCGATCGAGCTCGCGTTCTTGGTTTTATTCAACCAAAACGGCTTCACTAGTAAGCGTACTTCAGGTTGCTGGGGGAAGGGGGCAGGCTGAGGGCTCGTCAATGTCTGAGTGGTATAGGGGTCCCGGGGCCAACGAGGGATAAAGACAAACCTCAAATATTGTCTACCATGCCTTTAGTTGTTATCAATTTGTTTATTTCCTTGTCTTACAGGATTATGATGGGTCTAAAACACAGTTGTTGTTTCTTTATACTTGAATACCAACCTCTATGATCTCGGATTACTCTTGACATTAAATAATACAAGTATAACCTTGATTAGGACAAATAATGTACTCTGTTTTCAGGGGAAATCAAAACAGCATCCCCTCATCGGGTAACCCATATTAGAGAGTAGTCCCCCTGGCTCTAAGAATGTTCTGAGTTCAGAGCACTCCCGCACGACCAGCTTTGGGTTACCCTGTTGTGGTAATGTTTGTTAATTCACTTAATTTTCACTGGAAATCTTACAAAACTGTTAAAATATCTGACAACGATTAGTGATTACTGCCCTGCTAATTCGCGCATTGAATGTAACTCTCTAAACACCCGGAAAGGTAAACTAAGAAAAAAAATATATCGTGAAAAAATCTTCCATAGCCCAACGAAATATAGCAGTTTTCCGTCGAACGCAAGTGATTACGGAGCGTTTACCATTTATCCTAAAGAAAAGTGGAATTTTAGGATGTACTTCGCAATCAAATTCGAATTTAGGCCAACTGAAATTAAATTAGGCCGGTTGAATTGATTCAGACGCGGATCTTGATTCCAGCCGAACTAAATTCAAAAGGAAAAATGCGCGTTTCGGTGAACTTCATAAACGATTTGTGCATTTGGTTTGGTTCAGTCCACAGCCGCTATTCCCGGCTAAGCCAGGCGTGAAGAACGGCAGAACCGAACCAAACTCAATTCGCCGTTTCCAATTGATTCATTGAATTTGATTCGGTTCATGTGAAGTACAGCGTCTGAGACGGGCGTTAAATGTTGCCTATTAAGAGGCAACTTGTTCTTGTGCACTTGGAAGGAGCTATCATGTCTAGAAATTAGGGAGCTTCAGCAACGACGACGGCGACGGCAACGAGAACGTCAAAAAAACA